CACATTTGCTTCGCCTTTGCATTCACATAGTGCCAAATCAAGTGAAAAGAAACTCGCAAACGCCCACACGCATGCACATACCTTTATAGGGTAGTACCTATACGTGCGTACGCACACATACACGTACATACACACACACACACACACACACACACACATATATATATATATGTGTGAGTGTGAGTTTGTGTGTATGATATAAATTTACGGAATCACTTCTACTCACAGGTGCTAAAGTATCACCCGAAGTATTACGGCACCACCACTACTCAACTAATATGTTCATGATTTTTATGATTTCCACTACATTCTAGATTATGGATTGCTACCATTTCAAGCAGGATGGTAATGTAATCAAGAAGAGAGCTGAAGTGCATAAGACCGCCGAAGCCAACCGAGCGTTCGCTGGTTTCAGGTAGGTTGAACTTAATGCCACGTGCATGTTGTATGCTTCTGTGTAGCTGGTGTCTGCTTTTCCCGAGCGAGCCTTGATTTCAAACGATTTTTTTCATAGTAGCGTTCGAATATCTTAGAATATTCCAAACTATGATTATACACGGGTGCATTTTCTGCATTTTATCGCGCAGTCGAGATTAACCAAGAAAAACATAGTTGTGGCCTACTACAATACATAGATGCAGGCCTGTTGTGCAACTATGGTATAATATCCGATATTTGGCTTTATGTAACTGCATCGTTTACATGCATGATATACGTCAGATTTACAATTAGTCACGGATGATTACTGAGTAAAATTGTCTTACCCAATATTTGGCTTTGTAACTGCATCGTTTACATTCATGATATACGTCAGTTTACAATTAGTCACGGATGGTTACTGAGCAAAATTGTCTAATTCCCAAAAATAGATGGTAATGCCTAAAAGGTCCCAGTCTTGCAAGCGTTAAAGGCGAGGGTCAATCTGGAAACGAGTCGACCAACGTCCTGGAAGTGCTGGAACGTACCAAAAAGGGTACTACCACCTTCCTCCGACCTAGCCGACGGGATTGGCCAGAACCTCCCAAGGAAGTAGCCCGGTTTGCAATACAGTTGAGGATCACGTCACAACTGCGTCGGTTCAGATTAGTAAATAAATTGAACAAGTCGACTCAAGTCTAACGTACAACGGTTCATCTCTCTGTGATGACCGGATATCGCGGGACATTAAAATTCTTTCACGGTGCGACTCCTGCCGAAAACAGGAGTGTATAGATATCATTCACCAACGTACGAGATTTTGCTAAAGAAGTTCACTGAATTGACAACTGTATATTTGAGACTCCGACCACCAATGTATTTTTTTTTTGCCATATACATGAAATTATTGTTTATGGCAGTGTTTTATATGACTGATATGCGTAATAAACAGATTAGTGTCAAGCGCTTCGCATTGTCAATTTAGTTTTGTGTTCAACCAGAACTGAAAAGACAAGGTCTCAGGTTGGCTGTAAGACTATGCGCGCGCAGATATGTGGCCGTGCGGCCAAAATTCCTCTGATATCCAATGCCACAGGCGTAGCTCAATTTGTCGGACTTATGTGGATGGGAGGTCATTAAAAATGCCTAAATTCTTAAGTTTTTGCTGATTATCCCTATCAACCCTATCTGGCCAAAACGCCCTTCTGCGCGACTGAAACGAACTCCTCTCTAGTTATTTACCGCTGCCTTGAGGTGGAGAGATATACGCCAACGAAATAGACCATTCGGACGGTCGCTAAATTCCTGGTTCGCACTCGAGAAAACGTTGTGTGATACCGAAGTCTCACCTAAAACTATCCTCCTTGGCGGGTTCACCTCTCCGGGTCCCCTTTTTATGTCTCGACAATGATCTGATAGTCAGCATACAACGCCCACTCGGGCCCAAAGAGATCCGAGGAGGAACATACAGACAGATCGAATAAATAGCATACGAAAACACCAATGCACTCATATAGTACAAACCAAGTGTAAGACATCTTTTCATCTTGGATGCAACTGCATCCAGACGTGTCTACCTATAACAATAGTATGAAGTAATATATATATATATATATATATAAATATATGCATGAAATATAGGTGCAGGACTCAGTCGTTCGAAACAGACAGTTGTTCATGACAGTGATTGTAGACCCTCGAGAAAGTACACCGACATGGAATGAGCTATGAAAGCCGCCGATAACATATTTCCCACAAAAGTACATTGATATTCCTGCGTACAAACATCCCTACTGTACGTTACTTGGACCAAAGAATCAAAGAACACGTACATAAAATGTACCTGTCTATTGAAGAGGTTAACCGCGTACATACAATGTTTGCAGCCGAGAGAAGTCAGGTACGCCAAATGGTACTCTTCAATACATCAACAGTATCAAACGTATGCCGATGTACAGCGATGAAATATAACATACATCTGACTACCCGATATCCCACAAAACGCGCGAGACAAGGATTGTAAAGGACAGACCTTCACAGCCATACGTGTAGAGAACTACGGAATAGCCGATCACCAAGACCACGTAATGTGCACGCAAACGCACGACTAATGCGTGTATAATATAT